AGCGTTCTTCCACTTCCTCCTGTGTAGGCAACACCAAAAGCCAAACTGAGCTATTTCGATTTTAGCTTCGCAGCTGATGTGGCTGAAGTTGCATAGCTTAATTTGACTTTCGCCCTGCTGTGTAGAGGTAGCCTTAGAGACTAACAAAATATAGTATCATGAGCTTTCATGGGTAAGACCCACTTCATCAAATGAGCTGGATTGGAAATAACAGAAACCAAGAGATATATAAGAAGTGCCTGTCAGTTGCAGGACCCGTGGTAATTAAGTGGGCTGGATGTGTCCTGTTTGTAGCTTTTGATGTGGAAATGCAGATGTTAAAGGCAGGAGCAATTGGCTTTGTAATGCGCCAGCCAGCTGAAGTCTTTGTTGAAGCTCAGGGTAACGGTGTCAGATCTGTAGAAGAATTCCAGTTCTGCAGCCTCTCTCTGTAATCGGGTGGTGAAATTCCTTTGTAGCAGGCTGGCTACTTTTAAACCCATGACTGAGCGCCCAGGCAGGTTAAAATGTTCCCCTGCGGGTGTCTGTGTCTGACCATTCCTGATGTCTGATTTGTGTCCGTTTATCCTTTGTCGCAGAGGCTGTCCAGTCTGGCCAATACCCATGGCAGAGGGACACAGCTGGCACTTGCTGGCTGTCTCGCATCAGCACATGTGCAGTGTATCCCAGACGTAAATGGAGGAAGGCAGGGGGGTATGATGGCTAGGTAATTCTGTTACCGGATGTTATGACTGGTTAGTAACATTTAGAAACATACTTGGTGAAGGTAGAGCCGAGCAGGACTCCAAGTCTCACTCTAGAAACGGGGGCCCAAGCGGAAGTTCTTTGGGAGCCAGCTCTAGGACACAGCTCCGAGATCAGAGCTTAGCCCCGTGCCAATGACATTGCGCAGAAATTGGAGTCCCCCAGATGGGCCTGATCCTGACTGGCCACTAGATTGACTCGAGCTATGACAGACTAGCCATCGGCAAGGCGTGTGTGTGCATGGGGGTGGTTGGATGAGCGTGTGTGGACATGCGTGGAGGGATGTGTGTGGGTGTGTGTGGACGTGCGTGGAGGGATGTGTGTGGGTGCGTGTGGGGGGGGGGGTTGGATGAGCGTGTGTGGACGTGCGTGGAGGGATGTGTGTGGGTGCGTGTGGGTGGGGGGGTTGGATGAGCGTGTGTGGACGTGCGTGGAGGGATGTGTGTGGGTGTGTGCGTGGGGGGGGTGCATGGGTGTGGGGGGGAATGTATAAGCTGCTTTTCATGTTGTGTTTTCAGTAAACAAGGTGTGTGTGTTGACTTTTCCCCTGAAAAGATCCCATGTGCTTCCCATAAGCATGACACGCTCAGAGGGGGAAAAAACAGGACGATGAAGAACTTTAAAGACTAACAAGATGGTTTATTAGGCGATGAGCTTTTGTGGGCCAGACCCACTTCCTCAGATCAAATAGTGGAAGAAAATTGTCACAGCCATATATACCAAAGGATACAATTAAAAAAATGAACACATCTGAAAAGGACAAGTGAGCTTTGCCAAAGGGCCCTTGTGCGATCTCAACTCCTGCTGCCACCGCTCCAGGCAGTGCACAGGGAGCCCTGCCGCCCTGCGGTGGGAGGGGGGGTCTGCGTGCAGGGCGTGGCAGCAAAGAAGTCATTCCAAGGCGGCTGGGTGGGTCTCTGGGATCCGCCCCCCAAGGGATGCTGCTGCTGTCCGGCCCCTCTCCCAGGGGAATTAGCTTGGGGCACGTCATCTCCCAGCCGACTCCACAGAAGGGCAAGAAGGCACAACGAGTGGAGGGGACTTGCCCTCAGCCACCCAGCAGGTGTGGGACAGAGCCCCCTCTCTAGGTAACACGTTCCAGTGCTCCACCACCCTCCTAGGGAAATAGTTTTTCCTAATATCCAACCTAGACCTCACCCACTGCAACTTGAGACCATTGCTCCTTATTCTGCCATCTGTCACCACTAAGAACAGACTCTCTCCATCCTTTTTTGGAACCTCCCTTCAGGAAGTTGAAGGCTGCTATCAAATTCCCCCTCATACTTCTCTTCTGCAAACTAAATAAGCCCAAATCCCTCAGACTTTCCTTGTAGGTCATGTGCTCCAGCCCCCTAATCATTTTGGTTTCCCTCCACTGGATCTTCTCCAATGTGTCCACATCCTTTTTATAGTGGGGGGTACAGAACTGGACACAATACTCCAGATGTGGCCTTACCAGTGCTGAATTAAGGGGAATAATCACCTTTCTAGATCTGTTGGCAATGCTCCCCGAATGCACCCCAATATGTTATTAGTCTTCTTGGCTACAAGGGCACATTGTTGATTTGTATCCAGCTGCTCATCCTCTGTAATCCCGAAGTCCTTTTCTGCTGGACTACAGCTTAGCTAGTCGGTCCCCAGCCTGTAACAATGCTTGGTTTTTTTCTGTCCCAAGTTCAAGACTCTGAACTTGTCCTTGTTTAATCCCATCAGATTTCTTTTGGCCCAATCCTCTAATTTGTCTAGGTCACTCTGGACCCTATAGCCCCCAGTGTATCTACCTCTCCCCCATCTTAGTGTCATCCACAAACTTTCTGTGGGTACAATCCATCCCTTCATTCTTGAACAAAACCATTCCTAGAACTGATCCGTGGGCCACTCCACTCAAAATGGACTACCAACTGGATATCGAGGTATTGATCACTACCCTCTGGGCCCTACAATCTAGACAGCTTTCTGTCCACCTTACAGTCCATTTATTCAATCCATACTTCCTTAACTAGCTGGCAAGAATATTATAGGAGAGTGTATCAAAAGCTTTACTAAAGTTAAGATACATCACATCCACTGACTTCCCCATGTCCACAGAGCCAAATACTTCATCAGAGAAGCTAATCAGATTGATCAGGCATGACTTGCCCTTGATGAACCCATGTTGACTATTCCTAACACTTTCCCCTCTTCCAAGTGCTTCAAAATGGATTCCTTGAGGATCCTCTCCATGATTTTTATGGGGACTGAGATAAGGCTGACTGGTCTGTAGTTCCCTTGATCGTCCTTCTTCCCTTTTTTAAAGATGGACACTACATTTGCCTTTTTCCAGTCATCCGGGATCTCTCACGATCTCCACAATTTTCAAAGATAATGGCCAAAGGCTCTGCAATGACATTTACCAACTCCCTCAGTGCCCTCGGATGCATTAAATCCGGACCCATGGATTTGTGTATGTCCAGCTTTTCTAAATAGTTCTTAACCTGTCCTTTCTCCACCGAGGGCTGCCCACCTCTTTCCTATACTATGTTGTTTAGTGCATAAATCTGGGAGCCGACCTTTTCTGTGAAGACAGAGGGTAAAAAAGCATTGAGTACATCTGCTTTTCCTACATCATCTGTCACTTGGTTACCTCCCTCATCCCCCACATCCTCTCTGACCACCCTCTTATTGCTAACATGCCTGTAGAAACCTTTCTTGTTACCTTTCACATCTCTTGCTAGCTGCAATTCCAATTGCACTTTGGCCTTCCCGATTACACCCCTGCATGTGCATTCTCGAGCTAGACCTTTAAACCTGGTCATCTGTCCAAGTTTCCACAGGATATCTGTGTGCAGCCCACCCTCGCCCTGCAGGGGGCGTTACTGTCCAGGGTATGTGTGTGCAGCCCACCCTCGCCCTGCAGGGGGCGTTACTGCCCAGGGTATCTGTGTGCAGCCCACCCTCGACCTGAAGGGGTCGTTACTGCCCAGGGTATCTGTGTGCAGCCCACCCTCGCCCTGCAGGGGTCGCTACTGCCCCAGGCTATCTGTGTGCAGCCCACCCTCGCCCTGCAGGGGGCGTTACTCCTGAGCTGCAGCAGCCGGCTTTCCAGCACAGAGCTGGTCCCCACAGCGAGCGCTGATTGGCCGAAGCATGGAGGCGTTTATTTGCATCATTTTCTAAACTTGATGCTGATTGGGCGAAGTCTGACAAAGGAGTGAAAGTCGCGTGGCTATTGGTTGGGACGTTCACTCTGGTCTCCGCTCGCGATGCACGGCTCTGACCCCGACAGGGGGGTCGGGACGGATCAGCTGTTCGGAGCTGCGGGCGCTCCAGGGTCCGAGCTGGGGGGAAGAGCCGGGTTAGGGGGGTCCAGGGACTGGGCTGGGACAAGGGGGCTCGGAACTGGCAGAACCCAGGGTGGAGCTGGAGGCTGGGCTTGGGGGGTCAGAGCCTGGGCTGGGCTAGGCTGAAGGGGCTTCATGGGGGGCGCCAGTTAGGGAGGATCTGGGCTCAGGGATCCGGCTGCTGGGCTGGGCTGGGCAGAGGGGATCTGGGGGAGATCTAAGGGGGGCTCTGAGCTGGGGCCTCAGGCCAGGGGGAGACAGGAGGGCCAGGCCAAGGAGTTTGGGGGCTGGGCTGGCTAGGCTGAGGGTGCTCCGGGCTGGGTGCCCTGTGCTGTGGGGAGATTGGGGGCAGCAGGGGCACTAGGGAAGAGGCCCTAGATCTTGGGCCTTGGGCCGGCTCAGGGCTGGAGCTGGGCCCTTAGGGCAGGACTGTGGATCCCCCCGGCAGCCCCTGTGCCAGACCCCGCACCGAGTCGCTCCTGCTGCCCCCCGTCATCCCAGGGCTCCCTGCTGGACGGGCCGAGGGCAGGAAGGGGGGTGCTGAATCGGGTGCTTCCTGCCTGCAGGGCTGTGAGCCCTTGTGCCCAGACCAGTACGGTGTGAGGTCCCGGCCCATGTGCCCTGAGAGCCCCAGAGCCCTGCTCTGCAGTTGGCCCAGTGGCTCTGCCACAGCCTCTTGCGGGGGCGCTGCCTGGGCTGACACGGGGTTGTGGGGCTTTGCTTCTCAGGCATGCGAGCGGGTGGGGATGGAGCACCAGGAGCCGGACTGCCAGAAGCAATTTGAGGCCGCTGTCAGAGTCATCCAGGGCCTGCCCAAGAACGGTGAGTCCCCATGCCGTGTGGCTGGGCTGTCATGGGCCTTGCCGAAAGGATGCTGAGATGGGTCTCCGGGTAGCAGAGACCCAAGCGTGGTTACTGGGGACTGGACAGAGCCCGGGGAAGTGTCCAGGACAGATCCGGGCTGTGCTGGCCCAGGAGACGGGCTAGACTGGAGCTAATTTACTGCCTCATCCTCACCCTGCGTCCTGCCACAACTCCCCCTCCCCACGGGTACAAAG